GCAGTGGGGGGGTGGGCGAGCCCCCAGCAGGGGTCCCGAGGAAAAGTCTGTCTGGCGCCAACCCCTCTATGCCACCCACCAAAGAGGACTCAGGGAGACCAGCCTCTGCCCCTGGGCAGCTCCAGGCTGGCACTGCCACTGTGACTGAGGCGTGGCTGAGCACCGACAGCTGCAGGTGCCCTCAGGTCTCCTGCTTCTCAGATGTGCCTGAGGTGCCGTGACCTCAGGTGAGACCTGTGGGTTCTCTGGGCTCTGGGCTCTGCTTCCTCAGCAGCGGGCTCGCGCTGGTCCTCGCTGTGGGTCAGAACGGAATGATGCTCCCTGCTCAAGGTGGGGGGCTTGGGGGTAAGGGTCCTCCTGGAAAGTCTGGTACCCTCCCTACTGGGTTCCTTGGCTGGTCAGTGCTGCCTTGAAGCCTAAGGGGCCAGAGATGCCTGGCTCCCCACCCTCAGGACCCCAGAGGTCTCGTTGGCATTGCCTGGCGCCCCAAACACAGCCAAGCACGAGGCTGACCATTCTGCTCTGAGCCCAGGAAGTGAGTGCTGTCCACTGACAGGAACCCCACTCTCAAAGTGAAAGACCCCAAACAGGGACCCCAGGATGACACAGCAGGGCTGCGGCCCAGGAAACAGGCCGGGCAAGGTGGACCTGGTCTGGTGTGCATGGCCCTTGGCGTTCACATGGGCTCCGGGCTCTGAGCAGGGCCTGCCCAGACGGCCTGTCCCCTCCTGCCCCCCCGCCAGGGTGGTGGGGAAGTGTCTGCCCTTAGGACCCCTGAGGCTCCTGCCCCCCCAGCCCCTCCCAGCCCAGTAGCCCCAGGAAACCGGAGCTGGCTGGCTGTCGAGCAGCCAATCCCAACACTGGAAGGAAATGTTTATTTTCTTCTCCAAATTGCCCCAGCTGCTGCGTGGTGGCTGAATGAGCCCTTTGAGCTGTTAGAAGCCCCCATTGTGGGCGGCCACAGCTGGGGGGGCCTGGGGCTGGGGTATGGAGGGGATGGGGCCTCGGCACTGCTTGCCAGTGACCAAAGCCGGGGGTCAAAGCTATTAACAGGCACCAAGAGAAGTGGTGGTGGGGTGTCCTGAGGGGATCCCCAGGATGGAGTCTGAAGGCAGAGGCTGGCCCCACCAGAAGGGGAGGGCCGGTGAGAGGGCCCGAAACCCAGCCCTGCCAACACGCCTCTGAGGCAGGTACCTCCTTCTTCCCATTTTGCAGGTGAGAAAGCTGAGCTCAGAGAGGTGAAGTGACTAGGCTAGGAACACACAGCCCGGGCCTGGCAGAGGCGGAGTCCCAAGCCCGGCCCATCTGATTGCAAAGTTCATACTCCTTCCCTGTCCTGGTTGTCAAGAGCCCTTCCGCTCACGCCAAAGGGGCCAGGCCTGGGAGGGGGCGGCCCGGCTGGGTTGAAGGGCCACATAGGTGGCCTGAGCCCAGTGCTGTGGGTGGTCAGGGAGGGGCGGGGCAGCCCTGCCTAGGGTGCAGCAGAAGAGGAAGGACTGGGTCAGCTGCATCCACACAGGCCCCACCTCTCCTCCCAGCCTCAGCGTGGAGGCAGGAGCTCTACCTGCTGCCTGGCTAGACCCGGCCCTTTGGGGCTGGACAGAGGGTGGGGAGCCTAAGGCACCGATTCCCCAGCCACGTCCACACAACTGCGGGAGCTGCTGGACAGGAAGACTCTATTCACCCCCACCCGCTGGATTCCGGGGCTCCTTGGCTGGGCCCCAACACCCCACTGGGCCCCAGCTCTGCCCCTGGCAGGGTAAGGCCTGGAATGTTAGGCTACTGCACCCCGACAGACGCTGAGGGAGACAGGAGCACAGACAGCTTTCGGGCAGGGGTGGGCATGAGCCCGAGTGCAGAGCACCTCCCGCTGCCTCTTGAGGTCAGGCCTCCGCCCTGCAGCGCCACACCCCGCCCTTCCTTCCCGGCCCCAGAGCTGCCGAGTATCTCAAACTCGCTAGCCCAGAGGCTCGGAGCAGCTGGACCCGGGGCCCCTCCCCACCTCACCAAGGCCTCGCTTCTCAGGCCAGACGGGAGGGCCTTCTCTTTATGCTACAGGGCTACGTCAAGTCTGCCACCATCACCGATCGGCCAAATGGGTTCTAACCGGGCCCTGGAGGACCGAGAAAGAACAACACCTTCGGTGCATGGCGACGGCCAGCCTTCCTGCCTCCGTTCAGTACCGCCGCTGCGCGCAGCTGTGCACACTGGCTGACAGAGCCTGGAGAAGAGCGACTATGCATCATCCAGGCATTTACTGAGCACCTGCTCCGTGCCAGGCACTGTCTGCTCGGAAGTCCTGCCTGAGATCTAGCTCTGAGGGTGCCTGCTGCATCCACCAGGCAGTGGGGATAGAGACCCCTTCAGGGGCCTCGGCCCAGAGGCCTTTCTCCTCCTTTCTGTTTGGTAGGGTCCCTGGGCCACGGGATCTTTCCCAGGAGATGCTGTGTATCTCTCCAGGGCTGCAACGTCCTTTACCGTTTACAAACTTTGAGGACAGTAACAGCACTTGAACGTCACCCCAGCCTTGGGCAGAGGCACCCCACTCTCCAACGAGAAAGCTGAGCTTGGAGGGAGGTGTCTCCAGCAGGGACACGTCTGCCACAGGCTCCTTGGACAAGTCATACCCCAGTTTTAAAGGGTGCACTAGGAGAGTAACCCCATCTCCCCAGGGATACTGAGCTGATCCCGGGGCCAGGCACCGGCATGGCACGCGGTGGGAGTCAATGAATGCGGGCTGTGCGAGTGCACAAAGGGCCTCGGCCAGGCCGAGCCAGAGCACCACACGGGCAGTGAACGGCCTCCGGACGGGCTTTTGGCCTGGAGCCCCAGGACCACGTCCAGGTCCTGGTCCCCCTCCCCCCTCCCGTGCTGTACCTTGGATGGGGGTCTGGGCCTGGCTGTTGAAGTGGCTTGTGGTGCTGAGCGAGCCGCGGGGGCTGGGCATGCTCGGGGTCACCCGCATGCGCACCCGGTCCAGGTCGCCGAAGCGGTCGGGGAACGCCTTGGTCTGGTCCTCCAGCTTCTGCCGGTGCCCTGCAGAGCAAGGGGAGCCCGTCAGCAGCTGGTCCCCGAGAGTCTCGGGGAGACAGAAATGCCTCCTCCGCCGGATATTCTCCCCGAGGTCTAAGCTCAGGCTTCTGCACGAGACCCTCAGTCACGAGCAACCTCCTCCTCGGGTTCTCCACAGACTTTCTGCAGAAAACGGCCCTAGGTACGGCCCCGGGGCGGCCACAAGGACCTTCCTGCCTTCTTGAGCAGGGCCACCCATTCTCACACCTGACCCTCCACAGCACACTGTCTGGCAGGAGGGGAAACTGAGGCCACAGGCATGGGCAAGGGACTCCAGCAGGCTCCCATGGGGATCAGGAAGAGAACCAGGAGAGCTGCCACCTTCTGCCTCCCAGCGCCCCAGGCCCCACCCCACCCCCGGGAGGCAGCCCTGGGATGAGACTGTCACTCCCTCCCGCCCTGAGTCACTCGGACCCACAGGCCTTCTCCTGTCAGGCCTCAGACAGAAGGACACGATCGCCAGGACACGAGCAAAGGCCGTGGGTGCTTCTGACGGGAAGGTGGGGACAGGGACCAGAGCACCCGGAGGAAGTGCCAGCATTTCCCGTCACCTTCTTCCACGGCCCACACAGGAGGAGCCCAGCCTCTGCTCCCAGGCCCGAGGGTGCTGCAGGCTCAAGGTGGCCATGCCCCTGCCTCGTGCAGCCAGCAGAGCCTCTCTCAGGGTCCTCGGAAGACATGGAGCTTACAGGGACCACACTCACACACACACACACTCACACACACACACACTCACACACACACACCCCACTCTTCAATGACTCACTTTACATTTCACAAGCAGCACACGAACATCTACAAAAATGAAAGCATTGCAGACAGGGCTGTGGCTCCTGGGAGCCCCCTAAGCCCCTCCCCAGAAGTCCCCGTGTGGGGTCTTCCCTTCCAGCCTCCGTTTCACACGCCTGGAAACACAGAGCAAGTTTCTCGTGGAACTTCCCTGAATGGGCTCAGCCGGCCGTGCCATCCCGTCATTCGCCTTCCTAGTCGCGCACCCTGGACCGCCGCCTCGGTTTTCTGACCCGTAAAATGGGGCGATAAGCCAGCCCCAAGACCACACAGAGTCCCCACAAGGAGCCCGAGGACTGCCCGCTACGCCAGTGGGGGTCCCCCGCGCCCGCTGCTCACATTCACTGGGCAGAGTTTACTCAGCCAATCTTCTCAGGTGGACGGACACTCAGGTAGTTCCCAAATGTCCTGCACGACCCCCGCACGTGTGAAACTCCCAGGCACGACCCTGTTCACACCGTGTGTCGGGGGTTTGTCCAGGCAGAGGGCTGAGCATTCCTGGGCTCTGCTGCTCAGCCCGACAGGAGGCTGCCCATCTGCTCCAGCGACGCCGCGGGAGGGGCCAGGCAGGCCAGGGGCCCTTTCTCCTTTCACAGGCCAGAGAAACTGTGGCTCACGGAGGTCAGAGTGAGGAAGGGGGACGGAGTCCCTGGATCCCTTGGAAAAGAACGCGGGGAGGAACCCAGGGAGAGGGCAAGGCCTGCCTGAGTTCTTAGGGCTGCAGTGATGCGGGGAACTTCCTAGACTGACAGGGAGAGAAGAAGAGAGAAGTAGGTGGGAGTTAAAACAGAATCCTCACCGTCCTTCCTGAGGCCTGGAAAATGGCATCTTTGGGGAAAAGTGTCGACCACCATTGAGAATGAGGGGAGAGAGTCAGAGGCCTAGCAAGGGGCCTCACTGCTGGTTTTCAAAATGGGGATGCAATGGGTTCCGGGACCCCAGACCCTGTGCTCTCTACACACCCCTGCCGCACGCTCACATGGGCCTCTGAGAGCCCGCAGAAATGGAGCAGGAGTCCTGGGAGCCACGCTGGGCTCAGCAAGACGCCAAGAGCCAGGGAACCCACTTCCTCCTCCTCTGAGGCCCCAGGCCTAGAGCCCAGGGGACACTCAACAGCTGGAATGAAACCACTCGGCCTCCAGGCAGGGCCCCGCTGCTGCCTCCTAGGACCCTTGGTAACAACGGGACAATATGGGTTGGGGGTGAGCTCAGCTGGAGCCAGGGCCCAAAATGCAGATGCCTATGGGGGCTGGCAAGTCAGGTAACCGAGGCACAAGGGATGGGTGGGGACGGGGGCAGACCAGAGAGGATGTGCCTTGTAAGGGGGGTAGTCAC